AGAACAGTAATGTGAAAATGTCCAAAAGGGGTTCTGAAGGCGGTGATCTCTCTGCTCTCTGGAGTGAGAGGAACCTGCTGGTAGGCAATCCTAAAAGCCCTTCACCTTCCTGATGTTCAAACTGAACTGGAAAGTGCTGTCCTTTATGAGGACTAAGATATTCATGCTTTTCCATTCACTAGGTGTAGGTTCTATAACCTTCATCACCTCCAGCTCCTTCTTCAGTAATGGCAGCAGATGCTCTGGGACCTGGGCTGGTGAATGGGCCTGGACCAGTTTTTCAGCATCACTTTGAGACAGGATGCTACTGACTTTTGTGATATTGCGCAAGTGAAAGAAGGCAGTTCTGAAAATTTGGTTTATTTCTAATTAAAGGGACATGTCCTGATCAAAAATGACTCCAAGGTTCCTCACAGTAGTACTGGAGGCCACAGCTGTGTTATCTAGAGCAACTATATGGTTAGACAGCAGATTTCTAAGGTTTTCATTCCCAAGCACAATAACTTCAGTTTTGTTGGAATTTAGAAATCAGAATTTACAGGTCACACTGGCCTCAAATATCTTCAAGACATGTTACTTTGACAAACTGATTTGATTCATCTGGGTTCATAGATAAATACAACTGAGTACCATTTGTGTAGCAATGGACATTTATACCATGTTTCCTGATAATACTGCCTAAAGGGAGCATGTATAAAGTGAAGAGAATTGGACCATCAAGTCTGGTCTTTTTTTCTCTCTCCTCTGTTAATGAAGGCAAATGGAAAAAAAATAAATGAAGATTCTGGTTATCCATTTTCTAAATCTGATCTAATTTGTTGTTTTTTTCTTATTTGTAAAATAAGAAAGAAAAATTTATTTTCACTTGTGAAGCAGATGGGGGCAGGAAAGATTTTTCTTTATGTGTGAAACAGAAACAGGTGAAGGTTTTGTTTGTTTGTTGTTTTGTTTTTTGGCCAGGATCATTTTTTCAAAGTTTGTTTTGTTTTTATTTGTATAACTGATGAAATAAAAATTATGGGGCAAAAGATATTTCCTTCATGTGTGAAACTGGTGAAAACAAACTTTTTTTATAAGGCGCATTTTTCTGTTTGTTTTTGTAATACTTGTTTCAGCCACAATGGTGCAGCACTACATCATGTTCTAAATAGGGACAGGGGTCTGGCTGCTGTCTGTCATCTAAATAGGAAGACATGCCTTCATGTTTTCCTCCAGGTGAATTTAACGTTGTTAACCTTTGCCAATATCTGTCTGAGTAAATCCAGGAAGTAAGCGAACAAGCTGATGCCACTTGCTTGTTTTGAAAACTAAGTACATTTCCAGCAGGGCAAAAGGCATATTTTAATACGTCTGAGGTTCTGGATGAGGATACTTTTTTCAGTGTGTTGGCTGGCTCGGATTGCCAGCCGAGGTTTTTTTTTATTTAAACCAGAGTATACAGCTGAAGAACTCCAGCAGAGAGACCAAGGCAGCAGCTGCATTACCTTTGGCTGGAGGGAGGCAATCAAGAAACTGGGTTGAAGAGTCTATGGAAGAAGAAGCCAGAGAGTTTCCTGGAGCACTAATGTTAGCTTGAGCAACTCAGAGCATCATGGGGCCCCCAGCAGTCTAGGCCTATAGCAGCATAACTAAGGGAAGCTCAGGGTCACCTGATCCAGCCCTAACTATAAGCTTTATCAAAAAGGAACGTCTTAAGTCTAATCTCAAAGGCAGAGAGTTAGAGAATCAGCAACATGCCCAAATCTCTGACCATTATAGCAATGAAGTTCTGGTCTCAAATACTCTTTAACCTGAAAAGTCATATTTCCTGAGTAAACTCTTGCGGGTAACACATCACTTGTAAAAGCTAACAACACAAAAAGCTAACAACACAAAAACAAAATCTCCTACCCATATTACAGGATATTCTACCTTCTACATATTAACATCAAAGTCTGACAATACCAAATGCCTACAAGAATTATAAAGACTTTGTAATATTAAGGGACCCATGATGCTCTGAGTTTCTCTCCTCTCTTCACCTCTCCTCCCTCTCCCTCCTCTCGTCTCCTCTCTCTCTATATGCCACCATTACATGTCACTAACTGTGCCTCCTCTCACCCATAGTGTGTCCTCTCTCTCTCCCTGTAATTTTCTGCAGGTTGCCCTGGCTCTGGAGCTCTACGCCTCTGATGAGCAGTTAGCGGCCACATCAACCTGCCCAGTGTTTGATTGTTTGTTGTGTCTTGTTGCTTTTCTTTTCTTTTCTCATACCTTTATCCTTTGCTCGTTTCTCCTCTTCTTCTTTTCTCTTTTTCCTAAATTGGGCACCTTTCTTCTGTTAAAGGGAGGTTTTCCTCACTGTTGGGACTTCAAGATACAAACTGACAAACTGGTAATGGCCAGCCAACCGGACATAGTAGTGGTAGACAAACAGAATAAGAAGGCCGTAGTGATAGATGTAGCAATCCCAAGTGATAGCAACATCAGGAAGAAGGAACATGAGAAGCTCGAGAAATACCAAGGGCTGAAAGAAGAGCTAGAGAAGATGTGGAAGGTGAAGGCACAAGTGGTCCCCGTGGTAATAGGAACATTGGGGGCTCTGACCCCCAAACTGGGAGAGTGGCTCCAACAGATCCCAGGAACAACATCTGAGATCTCTGTCCAGAAGAGTGCAGTCCTAGGAACAGCTAAAATACTACACAGGACCCGTACACTCCCAGGCCTCTGGTAGAGGACCCGAGCTTGAAGGAAGGACTACAAGACCGCCCCAAAGTGGGGGGGCGCTTGGGGAATTTTTATATATATATGCTGTATATATATATATATAAAAGCAGGATTTCATTCATTCAAAAAGATGTTGTATCAGAGTATTATCCAACAATCAAACACGATCCCTAAAAAAGGGTTACATAGAAACATAACATAAAGGAGACATGGTGGCTTAAGAATATATACAGACGTGAACAAAATTGTTGGTACCCTTCTGTTAAACAAAGAGAAACTCACAATGGTCACTGAAATAACATGAAACTGACAAAAGTAGTAATAAATAAAAATTTACTGAAAATTAACTAATGAAAATCAGTCATTGCTTTTGAATTGTGC